AGTGACCAGCTTAAATTACATTGGCACTATAAAAATTGACTTACAATCAGTCCTCACATTTACAATAACTAACACTGCAGAAGATAGGCTTAAGATACAGAAGGACCTTGACAGACTTGAACATTTGGTGCTATCTAACAAAATGAAATTCAGTGGTGAAAAAAGTAAGGCTCTACATTTAGGCAAGAAAAACCAAATGCACAGGTACAATATAGGAGGTATCTTGCTTAATAGTAGCAACTGTGAGAGAGATCTTGGAGTCCTAGTGGACAATCAATTAAATATGAGCCAGCAGTGTGCTGCAGCTGCCAAAAAAGTGAACACAGTGCTAGCATTAACAGAGGGATAGAATCAAGATCACGTGAAGTGTTAATATCACTTTATAATGCCTTGGTAAGGCCACACTTGGAATACTAAATCCAGTTTTGGTCACCATGATGTAAAAAAGATGTTGAGACTCTAGAAAGAGTGCAAAGAAGAGCAACAAAGATGATCAGGGGACTGGAGGCTAAAACATGTAAAGCAGACATGTCAAACACGCGACGTCACATGACGTCATGAGACATATCGGGACAGTTTTGCCATTGCCGGGAATGGGGTGGGCGCAGCTTCCGGATGACGCATTCGGCCTGCGGGCCAGCAGTTTGACACCCCTGATATAAAGAATGGTTGCTGGAATTGGGTATGTCTAGTTTAATGAAAAGAAGGACTGGGGTGACATGATATCAGTGTTCCAGTATCTCAGGGGTTGCCACAAAGAAGAGGGAGTCAAGCTATTCTCCAAAGCACCTGAAGGCAGGACAAGAAGCCATGGACAGAAACTAATCAAGGAGACAAGCAATCTAGAACTAAGAAGAAATTTCCTGACAGTTAGAACAATTAATCAGTGGAGCAACGTGCCTCCTGAAGTTGTGGGTTTTCCAACACTGGAAGTTTTTAAGAAGAGATTGAACAACCATTTGTCTGAAATGGTATAGGGTTTCCTGCCTAAGCAGGGGATTGGATTATAAGACCTCCAGGTTCTATTCTATTCTATTCTATTCTATTCTATTCTATTCTATTCTATTCTATTCTATTCTACTCTACTCTACTCTACTCTACTCTACTCTACTCTACTCTACTCTACTCTACTCTACTCTACTCTACTCTATTCTATCATTGCAGCATCACCACACTCACATGATCAAAATTCAGGCACTTGGCAATTGGCATGTTTTTACAACAATTGTAATGTTCCAGAGTCATGTGATCGCCATCTTCCCAACTGGCTTCCAACAAGCAAAGTCAATGGGGGAAGCAGATTCTCTTAATGATTGTATGATTCACTTAACAACTGCAGTAATTTGGTTAACAACTGTGGCAAAATAGGTTGTAAAACCAGGTGCAGCTCACTTATTGCTTAGCAATGAAAATTCTGGTACCAATTGTGGTTGTAAGTCAAAGACTACCTGCAATCAATATAGCTCAACTCTGCCACAATGTTTTGGGAACACAGAGCACCATAACACATTGAGTCTGAGAGGCTAGTTGAAGTAGAGCACCTCACAAAAGCAGTAAAAAAACACTTTGCCTATTCATTAGAGTCATTGGAAAAGGGGCAACTCACATTAGATTTGGATCCTGGATCAAATCAGGTAGTCTCTGATTTTTCCCAAATTAAACTTTGTTATTTCACAAGAAAACAAAATTGTGCCTGACCCAAATCTTATTGTCAGTGCATATCCCTACCAGTGATATACCTTTATCTGTGTCTAAAGTGTCAAAACTCTCCGAAAAAAGGAAAGGAATGTTTTCTCCAAAGTGGAGGTTGGGAGCTAGTGAAATTGGGAGGAAATATCAGAAAGATTTAGACAGGACAGCTGGCATCAAGATACAATCCGGAGAACAGCAAGCTCAACATATGTCACGAGACTTTTTAGCTGTTGATCCTCTGCAGCAGCTTACTCAGCTCTTTCAAATGGAGCCGTTGATTCCCTCTGCAGTCATGTCTCTGTCTATCCATGGGCTGAATTGGAACTTGGACACTGTAAAAGTGTAGTCTACTTTCATCAAAGCTGCCAGTACAGAACTATGAGATTTTAAAATGCAGATTAGGTTATTGCCCTTGTCACCTTTTGGGTATGTGCAAATGGAAACATGAAGAATGTAGCAAAGCCCGAAGCATAATTTATAAAATTAGAGTTTGATTAGACTCTATGCACTATGGTGTACATAAAGAAAAAACATAACCCATAAAACAGCAGCACTGAATGGTTGCTATCCCAATCTAAAATCCTTTGTACACCTCAAGGTATGTTTGGTGCTTCTGATCAAGCAACTTATTCAATGGAGAGTAAACTGGAAAACTTATTTAAGAATCCTTAATTAGATTACCTATAGTTACCAGTACTAGACTAGATTTTATGCGCAGGGCTTTCTTGTGATAGACCCTACTTTTGCCTTGCTATAATGCTCTGTTTTCATGTTGTACATATTTCAAAAATGATTTGGAACAGCCTTAGAACTTGGAATTTCTCTCGCTCTGAAAATAAATGTAAAAACTGAGGATAATAGCACTTCTGGATATAAAATGAGATTGATCAGGCAGCAGTTAAAGATATAATATTCCAACTTTGTTTCCATGAACCTTTAATTGGAAGACAAAAACTGGAATATATACAGGAAAGAGGAAAACTGATTAATCTGAGATTGGAATATTCTAAAAAAAATCTGAAACATTCTATTCCATCTCAGGAACATACTGAAACTCTTCTAATCCATGCTTTTTCAAAGTGCTTTGGTGGCTTCTGGGAAAGCATCGTCTGCCTTAGAAGAATTTTGAGATATCTTGAAGATAGTGTTCTGGGATAAAGTAACACCTCAACTCACTTCCTATTTGGGGGTTTACTTCAAAAATTGCTAAGCCATTTTCAAAATGGCTCCATCAAGAAACAGTTGGGATAGTCTGGAGGGAGGGAGCGAATGGAATATTCTGAAGTTTTGCAGAACATTTGATTTCTAAATTGTGGGGTTTTTCACTATCTTATTTGTTCTGTTTTTAATATTATTTTTTTTGTTTGCAGAAATAAAGAATATTTCCTGGTATTTAGCCATTTGAACTGAACATCATGTCTTCTTTTCTTTTCACTCCAGATCCTTGAAGAGAACATGAAGTTGGAGTGCAAGTGCCATGGAGTGTCAGGATCATGCACTACTAAAACATGCTGGACAACTCTTCCTAAATTCAGGGAGTTGGGCTACATCCTTAAGGAGAAATACAATGAAGCTGTTCAGGTTGAACCTGTGCGGGCAAGTCGTAATAAGCGTCCCACTTTTCTGAAGATAAAGAAACCACTCTCCTATCGCAAACCGATGGATACAGACTTGGTCTACATAGAGAAATCGCCCAACTACTGTGAAGAGGATCCTGTGACTGGCAGTGTGGGTACACAGGGCAGAATGTGCAACAAAACAGCCCAGCAGACCAATGGCTGTGACCTGATGTGTTGTGGACGAGGTTATAACACTCATCAATATTCCAGAGTCTGGCAGTGCAACTGCAAATTTCACTGGTGCTGTTATGTCAAATGTAACACATGCAGTGAACGAACAGAAGTCTACACCTGTAAATGAAAGCATGGCTTTGGCAGGGGAACCTAAAGCCTTGGAGTACACACTTTTTTTTGCACATAAGCTCAGTGTATCTAAATAATACTGTAGCAAAGACCCAAATAGTTTCCAAAAGAAAGTCCAGCAAAATAATCCCGTTTTCCTCCCCTTTTAACAGTGTTTATAGTGGATAATGGTCAAAGACTTTTGGGAATAGCCCAAAGACTACACCCAGACTTTTTAAAAGGAACCCAGAAACAAACTATTTTGCCTAATGCAAAACTTCAGATAACCTAAACTACATAAATAAAATAAATTGGAGAAATGCTCAAATAATCTGGGCCATCCAAACATTACGGACTGCCTTAAAATTGTGGGAAAAGTTGAATTTTCTTGGAGGAGGCACTCATGAGGCCGGATGAAAGTGATCAAAAGACAATGCAATGTGCCTAAAGTGTGAGCTGAGAAAAAAAATGTCATATTTTAAGAGAGGCTTTGTCCACAATTGGATGACAATGCGCCTGTGTGAGTTTCCATTGAAAGAGTGTGGATTATGCAGTTGTAGGGATTTCTACATTTGTGGAAAAAAAAAAACTTCTGTTGATTGTTCCTTGTTGGTTGTTCCTTGTATTCCCATTCTTCTGCCTGTGCTAATGCAAGTAGACCAATGGGTACTTCCCATATAAACACTGGTTTAGCTGCTTTTCTGCTCTGCTGCTGATTTTAGCACAGCGTGTTGGGAAAACTTGGCATAATAATTATAGCAATATTTAGTCACTTTTGCAGATAAAACTAATATTAATTTATTTAATTAAAAACCCTCTACCACCAATTTTTTTGGGAGCATTCTGCAATTAAAGTAGATAGCCTGCTTTTTTGTGGAATCATTTTTGTAGATTCAGTAGAGGGGAAACCCTTGAGGTGTATATATTATTGTTTACTTAGGTATTTCTACTAGTTGCAAATGCAGGATAGTTTCTGCAGGTATTAAGTACAAAAGCAGGCATCTTTTATAATTTTGAGTTGTATGCTGCTAGTTGTCTGGAATCTCAAATTGCTATTCATCTTCTCTATATATCACAGTACACAATTTTTCCAATTTTTTTGTTTAAAAGGATCATTTCAAAATCCAGTTGGAAATAACACATGACATATATAAATGCAAAACGCCAGACAAGTTTCCACCTTTGGAAAATGAACCATAGGATAAAAGAATATATTTTGTAAGAGACTATTTTTATATGAATATTTTATTTATACTATATCTGCTTGTAAAATTCTGTAACCTGTAATTTTTCTCAAAACAGGCACACCGTTTGTAATTCATAGCCTATTTAACAATTAAGGCCAGTTACTTTGTTGACCTAAAAAGT